TATTTGGTATTGAAGAACAGTTGAGAACATCTTTGTCTTTTTCAGTAAGTGAATATAATGGTGGAAATAATAATCTTATGCCATGAAGAAAAGCCTAAACTGATTTTCACTTTGCTCAATAAGGCAGAATTATGTGTACTACATTTTGCTTTCATAAAAGCTATTAACAGTTTTAGAAACTGGCCTTTATAGTTAGAAACTTGAGCTATTTGGAAAATTGGATTATATTGTACAGATCATTTTCCATTTCTACGAGACAAGGTATTGTTATAGCATCACTATAGGCCTAATAAGATGCTTAAAATAATTTTACAATGTTATTGTACTTCTATCTTTATATAAAATTCATTGCTATTTAAATTCTAGAATAGACAATAAAAAAGGCAATTGTTTGTTTTGATTGTTTCTTTGAAAATGTCATGTTAAGGAAATGTGACTGTTGTCAATTTGAATACTCAATTATTTTGAGCATTTTCCTTCTATATATTACAAGAAATTTCGTTCTTCTTTTAACTTCAAAGGCTGCAGAAGTTTAGGAGAAAGACAAATATAGTGATAATAAAACTTAAAACTACATATGTGATTTGAGATGACAACAGTTATTTGTAGATTTTAGACTATGTTCCATGCTGCTAGACAGAGTACAACATGTTTGCCCTAAAATCTTTTCCAAGCCTACAATATGGTCTCTAGTTTCAAGTGATGACAAAGACAGACTGGTAATCAAAGAGCAGGAAATTCATTTTTGAAAAAATCCTTAAAGATTCCTTTGAAGTCTGATATAACACTATCTCTTTAAGTACACTAAGTGAATATCCCCAAGGATTTATTTTTAGATTACTCTATTTATTCTTTTACTTCTCAAATTTGATTTGAATTTTATTTACACAAATAACATTTTTCCATATACATTTAGATATCCAAACCATAAACTTACTATGTACATGCTGCTAAGATTTGTATGGAAGTAGTATGGCTTGAGCTAATGCAAAAAAGATTTCAAAGTTTTGAGTGAATCTGCATAGAGACATAAATTATCCAGAATATGCAAAGCCATAAATTTGCTGCAGGACATATATAGCTCTCATGTGGCTCAGGGAAGCACAACAATTCTCTTTATTTCGCATTTGTCTATTATCACGTTTTCTCCAAGAATCTTCACGGGCTTTCCTTCTTTGCCTGCACGGTTTTTATTTCTGTATTCAGATGCACTCACTGGTAGCAGTTGCATTTACAAAGTTAAAAGTACTGGACTGTCTAAATGAAACTTAAACTTGGTTCTTTACTCTCTCTGTCTATAATACACACAGAGGTTAGCTGACACAAACTAGAGGCATTACCTGGGTTAAAGGTGAAATATCATGAAAAATTTTTTAATTCAATATGATTTGTAAGAGATATTTCATTTAGCTGTTTAAAACATATACACATCTAAAATATATATGTTATATAATATCTATAGAAGCAATAATTCATAATTCTATATCATATATAACATACATACAGTTATATATATATAAACAAAACACACACACACACATACACACACACATATATAAAGGCAAAGTCTACAAATACTGTTTGGACCAGAGGACAGCATATTTTAATTAACATAAAAAGGAAACAACTTATTTAAAATATGTCCCCTTTACCTAAAGTCATTATTCAAAGTTTCAAAGAGAAAGAAGAAAATGTCACTTTTTGCATTTTTAAAAAGCCCATACAAAACATGAATTCCTTTCCCAAATTAATCTTAGGATCCTGGATAAATGTCATAATGTCCCCATAGAATGATAAAGGATGAGAATCTGGCCCTGAATAACCACTACAAAGTGAATTTCATAAATATTTGAAATAATTGTCCTTCACTGTTAAATGGCCATCCTCCTGTTTTGGTCTCTCCTGGACCCTCCCTCCATTTTAAAATAAAATAGATTGCTGCCAAACTACCATGTTTTAATCATTATAATAATATGAATTCCCTCTTTTCAATGCAAAGTAATTAAGTTTATCTAAATATGTACTAGCTCTTTGCATGTAAGCTTCTCAGGATTCATATTTAAATATCTTATGCAAATATAAAAGCATAAAGCAGTAATTTCATGACTAGGTGCTATTTTTGCCTCTTCATCTTTTCCAACATATTTTCATACACATCCAACCTGTAATATAGACAGATGCAGAGTTGATGCAAATGAAAATAACATTTTTCATCAACATTGTAACTGCTGAATTGGTATATTTAAATTTCTTAGTGATATGAAGAAACAGTTTGATCATGCTTTTCAATTAAGTTTATTTAAAAATATGTTTTGGAAATAAAAAAACAACATGAACAATAAAAGTAGTACACATTTTATTTGGTGTAAGGCAGACTTTACTATGATGTAATCACACATCTTACAAAAGTGTGATATTTAGTGCATGGAAAAAAGAAGACTTTTGTCCTGTCTGTGACATTTATGAGGATCACTTTACAATCTAGACTTAACTGAAAGGAAAAGTCATAGGAAGTTGAACATGTTGAGTTCAAATAGCATTGTCTAAAAAGTCCCAAAGAAAATTAATAGCAATTAGAAAATTCGAAGAAGTATTTAAAGGATCTAGCCCACAAATAAGAAATTATTTCTCTGAGAAAATGTTCACCAATAAAATATAGAATGAAAACTCTCAAAACAAAAATCCTCTTTTAAAATAAAATGAAATTATATAACTTATTAAAACTGTCCTTGTGATGTTGTGTGGGATACGAACAAAAGAACTCCATTATTTAATTCCAAATACCTCACAAGAATCCTGGGCTAGAAACTCAGACCTTATTTAAAATACATTTCTTTAAAAAATGTGAAAATCCTCTAAAAGTTTGACGTCTTGGTAATTACCTAGATGTTTCAATTCAGATATCTCTCTGCAATAGAAAAGATCTACCAAAATAAACGGAATTATTTAGAAGCCTAGACCCAATTTTTTCTCGCATCAAATTATTCCATTAAAAGAAAACACCCATGTTTCAAATAGCGCATGCATGAAGAAGAATATTTTAAAATAAAATAGTTAAAGGAAGTCTAAAAACCGGGAACACCCCCAATTGCCACAATGCATTAAAATAGCCAAGGCTCATCAGCGTCTAACAAATAAAATGAGGCGCATCATGAAATGTCACCATACCTGCGTGCACTTTGAACGACTACGGCACACACGCTGTAAAATCTTCACTCTCAGAAATAAAGCACACTTCATTTAACTGCTGCAAAACACTGCTGCAGAGGAGCCCGGTACATTTTTTTCAGGCAACCGATCCAGCTTTCTACCAGCCCTGTGACCTTTGAACTCCCTTCTGCCCCCCTCCCCTCGCTTCTGCAGTCAAAGCCTCCGAGCTGGTCTCATTTGCATAAGGCTCAGGCAGTCCTCCAGCAGCTGAAACGGAATGCTGGGTAAGGAACTGTGGAACTGCGGTTCTGCCAGGGTACCTGGATCACGGGAGAGCGGGCACACGCGATGGGGAGTGGGCACGGGTTTGACTGGGCTGTCAGCATCACATTCCCCCGTGTCTATTAATGAATAAACGATTTTAACGCTTTGTTTTAGAGTCCCATTCTCACTGCTTACCCCCACCCCACAAAAAAAGAAGCTGTCAGCAGTGACTATGGTAACCAAGGAAACCCAAATAGTCAAACGCTTCATTTAAATACGTGTTGAAGGCCAATTTTAAATTTTCATTAACTTCTCTTGTTTTTGAAACATAGCTTTTTTTTTAATTCAAATACATATTGCACGTATAAGCAGGCACATGGGGTTTTTCTTTTCGTTGCTGTAGTTTAAACAGTATCTTGCAGGCATAAATTTATATTAGTCACTATACAAATACATGAGGTCACTATAGTAATTCTGTAAAATGTTAAATGTGCCCAAGTGCCTTAGAGTCTATCATCCTAAATGGTGTCCAAAAAATTAATTGTAAAGAATTTAGGTCCCAGGATGCCATTAAAACAATACAGCAGTAAAAATGTAGAGCAAAGTTAAACTATGTACTTATATCTAAAGATTCATACAGCAGTAATGCTTATCTGCTTTTGGCAAAGATGTTCAGTGTTGTGCTATTATTTGCTAGAGTTATTTCTTCTCTTGTCTTCCTACACACAGCAGTCTATCTGAAACATAAACTTCTCTATTGCTCATAAACACAAGAAGTGGTTATTTTCTAGATAAGGAAGGTCATGTGTGTACATATTTTTATAAATATCCATAAAGGCAGATATTCTTCTTTTCTAAATTGTAAACCAATGTAATTATACATCGTCAGATAATCTAGTCCTCTTTTAAACATCAAGCTAATTTGTTTTTTCTCCATACGTGAATGAATAGTATCTGTAAAATAAAAAGGTTTTATGCAATAATCTTTTCCATTTGTCAAAAAATAACATGAAAAATAAAAAGCACACAAAAAAGAATATATATATTTAAAGTATAAAAGACATCGTTCTAATAGCATTATTGGCATTTCAAAATTTTATTTTTAAATGTTTTCATCTAAATAATTAAATATTCCAAATCTTTCTTTTGCAGTACACAGAAACATAGCCACAAATTTTGAATGATATAGTACCCAGTTTCTAAGACATGTAAACTATTACAACACAGAATTTTTTAATACTGGAAAAATAATTTTGAAGCTTTTTATCTGAGCTGTTAGTAGCTTTTATATTATTTCTGCATACATAGAAGATTAGATATTATTGGATACCTTTTTTTCTTACTCATAAATTTTTAAATAGAATAAATAACTTTTCAGTTTAACATAATGATACCAACATTTCTCTGTCACATCTGACTACATCAACAATTTAATTGCGTTGGGTCAATTCAAGTGCATCCTTCATTATTACACACTACAAATATCTTGCAAAGTTTTTGTTTAAGGCAAAACACACACCAGCCCATCCTCCTTTAAATCCAGTCAAACACAAGGAAGCGTTGGAGTAATTTATAAAATCACCGACCTGTTCAAATAGCTGGAGTCTTAGTCCTTGCACTCTTTATTCATTAGAATCCAAAATATATTGATTATCATTTTATGTGCCAGCATCACTGAAAGCACAGTTCTTCCTGGTTCAGCAGAATCTTCTTAAATTTCCCTGCCCTGTGTTTTATTGCTGGTACCATATGCTTTATTGTTCAGCGACAAGAGCTTCACTCTGCACAAAGACTCATTACCTACTGCTTGCTGCACAGCATCAGCCTCACTGAGGCTGCCTATATGTGATCACATGGAGTTTTGTCTGAGAAAGCCAGGCGTGCCACTGACTTCACTGTGTCTATGGATATTTTTATCAGCTGAGGTCTACTAGGAGGAAGGAATAACAGATTAGGAAGCTGCTCTAAGTCATTAATGCAGCACAACTTATGGAAATCCCTTCACAAGATTTCTTTTTTATTATTATTATTATTATACAAAACATCTGAGCAAGCATTCAAAAGAAGTTAACTAAATTTTATTTTAATAAGAGGCTGAATAATAATTTAAGGAAGGAGAACTTGCCAAAAGCCATTTCCTACCTTATGCTTTCTGAAAGTACTTTTGTACAGATGTTATTAAAGAAACTTGTACTACCGAATGATTTGGCAATATGTTTTAACCTTTAGATTGCTGATGTTTCTTTTGCTTGATGGTTTTTTCCTGAAAGGATAATTGCTATTTCCCTCAAAATCTCCTCAATTAAAATCGCAATCACTAAAAGATACTATATTGAGTAAAAATAGATATCATAATTACTTTTGATAAAGTAGATGAGAGAGTAAATCTTTTTTATTGATGTATATAAATGAAGTAGATGATTAATTTATCTTCTCAGAAGATGACACATTCCTAGGACAGCTGACTTAAAAGAACAATATAGACTTCAATATAAAGATCTAAAGGACAGAAGGTTCAAATTAATTTTTAAAATTGTAGTAACTTATTTTAGACAGCTTACCTCAATAAAGCATATGATTTAGCTTTTCTTTCAGTGTTAACAAGTAGTTTCCAGAAATGACTACTCAACACTTACAGGAACTTTCTGATATACAAATGTTGCATCAATATACATACAATATGTGTATGTAGGGGGGTGTGTGTTCTCAGATTATCTTTCTAAAAATATTTTTAAAGCCTTAAATTATTTCTCAAAATTGAAAGTGAACTGGGGACTTTCAGTATTAAAAGGCTCCTCAACTATTGAAACTGAAATTTTAAAATTGATTTTATTTCTTTAATAATTGTCTGAATTGGGATTTGAAAGCTTGTTGCTTGTATGTCTCAGCAAAAATTGTATGACAAATATATGCAAAGTACAACAAAGAGCAGAAAAGAAAAAATCAGAAACACCACAAATAAATATCAGAAAATAAATTTTCTGCGTAGTTAGATATGTATAGTAATTTAATAGTTTCTATAAATAACTCTAATTAAAAAGTGAATGTATATACATATATATGTAGATGTAGATATATACACACAACTGCTTAAGTCTTCCATTAACATTAATAAGAAATTATTTTTTGGAAAAAATATTTTAACAAATTTTTTTGTGTCTATCGAAATTTTTAAAAACAACTTTAGCAAGAAGTGATTGTGATTAAATAACTCAGAGTTTAAATACAATATCTTATAAAATTATTTGTAGGGTTAACATTGATCTATAATGTTTATGACTTACATAGACATCTTTGGTGGGATTTTCTTAACATAGAAATAAATATTCAGATGTTTTAATGCATTTGTTCCAAAATGTTTGTGTTCATTTTTTCCTCTGCACACAAGAGCTACACTAAAGCTACAAAAACTTGGGACACTAAAAGAAAAAGAAAACCATAATGTTTCTGATTTATAGTATACCTCAGGGTTCTTAAAGATATGTACATTCTGGTTCATCTCTCTGATGATGTCATCATGCTAATGTACAGGGAAATAAACAAAAGGCAGCCATTTTTTTTTCCTTACTGCATCACTTCAGAAACAGTGGAATAAAATGGTTGCCAAATGGATGGAAAGAATCAACAGAAAACTAAGTTTCAAGTTTTTAGGAGCAGGGATTGGTGTAAAGGGGTATGAAACTGGAAAAAAATTCACCCATATGTGGCATTTGTATGTATATATGCAAAGAAATAATTTAACAATAAGAAAGAACTGTAAATAAATACATGGGATATAAAAAGAGCTAACAATTAAAACAAATTACCAGTAAAGTGGTGAGTCGCCAATAGAAAGATTAAGTCTATAAACTTTATGTACTAAATATAAGAACTTGTTCAAATTTTTAATGTTTAAAAGATATTTAAAGGTGGACACCAGAACTAGAAAGATCTAGAAAGAGACAAAATGAATCATGAAATAATAATAATCTATCTAGTTCTTCTATTGTCTTAAATGACTTTTGTGAGTTATTCCAGCATTTTATACTTTGGTTTTCAAATCTACAAACCAGGAACAGAAAAGTCTTTGGAAAGTATGTAATAGAAATATATAGGACTATTTTATACTTCAATTTCCTAAATTGGCTTTAAACAAGCTTTGTCAACTAATATTGATAAAATGGAAAGCTATGATATAAAATTCTAATGATTGGTTAAAAATAATTTTTAATGAACTATCCTAATAGCACAAAGAGATATAATTAGTAGATAGGGCTTTGAGAAACAGGTGATTTTTAAAAAAAATCTAATGCATGCAGAAAAAAATTAGAAAAAAATGTAGGAAGTACTGTAATTTGAAATCTTATAAAATTACCTCAGGATTAAAATAAATTACAAAATATGCCCATCCTTTCTCTCAAAATTTTGGAGTTCTCTGTCAGCAACATGACAAGAGAATAGCTCCAGAGATTCTCACATTACACAATGAACAACAGTGTTTCTGCTTACATAACAGTTTCATCAGCCAAGATTTCTTTAAATATGAAATTAACAGAGAAACACAAGATCACAGCTTTATGAAGCAAATTTCATTCAAGATTAAAAAGATGTTTTAATTTACTTTGCCATATCAAAAGCTGTGAGTTAAAAAAAAAATAAGTCAACTCTTACAATTTGCTCATTGATTTTCTTTAAAAACAAAGGGCCTCACAGAATCATTTTATTTACTCCCCTTTCCCACAAAATAACAAAAGCTTATCAGAAGCAATCCAAAATGTTTGAAATCAAGTACTAGCAGTAATTGAGGCATAAATGGAGGATCCCTTGAACAATAGAATGTTGTGTGAAGGAAGATTTACTGATACCATCACCTGTGTTTCTTAGAGTCATGTTAATTAGTATATATACCCATTACTCCTGTTGGATTCACCTTTGATCAGGCTGGATTTTCTTGAGACATTTCATTCTCCTTTACAACACATTCAAAGAAGTCAGTAAGTTGGCTATGTCAGTCTCAAAATCCAGAACGAAGTCAATTCAATTTAACAAACATTTACTGAGAAGTTACCATGTACCAAGTTCTAAGACAGTTGCTAGGGATATAAAAATGAAATATATATTCTTCCCAAGAAGATTCTAGTTTCTCTAGCTTTAAAAAAAAAAAGAAAAGTGCTAAATATGTTATGGGAAGATGGTTAAAAAGGAATTTTTTAAAGTTTAAATATTTTATTAGTTGAATATGCATTTTATGTGATTTGAATACAATTTCTTTATTTTTTGAAATTGTCTCCTAAAAGCAGAAAAAAGCTATTGTTTTAATTAAAATTATTTATAAAATGTCAAATTGTAAATTATTGTAAGTCCTTTTGGATGTCATAATCTAGAAGAGACAAGACTTTTCTCATAATGAAATATATATATGTATGTATATACACACACAAATACACACAAGCACATAAGTATATACAACTAGTGGCTACAAATTCTTTGCTTTTCTTTCCAGCAAGAGATAGTGTGTAATATCCTTCACCTTTACCCTTAGCTGGCCATAGTAATTTACCTAACCAAAAGAGGCTACAAAAGGGATGATCTGGAAATTTCAAGCCTAGGTCTTAAGAAACCTTGTGGCTTCTACATGGGCCTCTTGAGACAATCTCTCTGGAAACTCTGAACTGCCCTGTTAGAGGATTGATTACTTTGAGGCTGCCATACTGGAAAAGCCACATATAGGCACAGTGGGAGGAAACAGAATTTCTAGTTGTAAATGGTACAGTGGGAAAAGCCCAGAAACAAAGGCAGGAGCTATACTAAGAATAATTAGAGAATAAGGGTGACAGGAGATTTAGGCATGTATTGGGATGTTGAAGAAGAAAAAGGAAGTCTGATGCTCTCTTGGGGCACTCTGAAGCTTGAGGTAAGGATATTTTAGCAACATGCAGGACATTGTGAAGTCACCAAGGGATAAGATAAGTGCTATTGGCAAAGTACTGAGTAAATAAGTCAATTTTGGCAGTTGAGAAAGAGCTAGGTTGGTGAAATCCTGGGCCAGCAGTGGGTGTCTGATGAAGAAAAGCCTGGTAGAAATGATGAGGGCATGAACTAAAGGTAGTGATTGAGGAAGGAGGAGAAAGGGATTCATCATAAAGAAAGATGGAGTACTTAACACTGGTTGGACAAGCAGGTCTCAGATCTCATTTGTAGCCTTAAAAGTCAATGGTTCAATGATTTAGCTACCAATTAGATCTAGAAGTAGAGAGCATTAATTAAACTAGTTTCATTAGACAGATTCAGTAATTTCACAAGTATTTTGATTTGTACTGGCCTCATCGTGTCAGTTTCCCAATATTGCTAATATCAAATATTGTTAATGCTATGTTTAGGAGGTCGAGAGTAACTGTAAAACAGCAGGACCTTCTTTAAATAGAGTACATAGAGGAAAGGGTTTCTTTTTTTTTCCTTGTGTCTGATTCTTAAGTTATAAAAAAAGTTGGAAAAAATAAATATGTCTTAGTTATGCAAAGATAAAACAGATAATTTTGGATAATGTAAACTAAGACTTGCACACACATACCCCACCATTACCTATCAAAGTAAACGAGCCTACTGGAATTTCAGTCTTTTAATTTTTTAAATTCTATTTGGATATTAGACAATCACAGTAGCAGATGTTAACTTACGCGTCCAGTGAATGGCCACTCAGACTGATCCAGGTTAAGTGGTAGGAATAGCTCTATAATTGCTGCTACTGCATCTACAATATGTACATAAATCATTTAAACATGGCTGTAAAGAAGTCTTTATGCAAAGTGACACAAAAAAGAAAGTATCCAGATTTTTCCCCACCCTTCAGTCTCTGTCATTACAAAGGCATTAGAAAACAGCATTTGT